CCGAAAGCGACAGAGTTCGCCTCTTAATCGGTCGCTATCTTCGCGGGAATTCGGCCAAGACGACGTGCTGTCGGTTTGGAGCGTCACCGAGATCTTCGTTCCCGTTCCCACTCGCACACTCTGTTTGTTATTATTGGAATGGTCCTCCTCCTCGCGCTGAGAGGGCTGCCAAACTTACCTGACACACCAGGAGGTAATTAGAACTTCCTCTCGCCGTTTCACGCGCGGTCTCGCTACCCCCGATGACCTCGCAGCATCCACCGGTGTGCAGAAACCCACCCGCGATCACTATTAAAAATCTACGACGGCCGTTTCTCGCTGCGGGTGCGCGTCGATTCGTCGATGTGTATTTTTTTTCTGCGTTTCCAGGTATCCGTGATAGACAGTTCGATTAAAAACCGCTGATTCATGGCCGACAGAGATGTTCGGCCACGGTTCGCTCGGCGGAAGTTTACTTTTGATTTTCGGCTCATCTCTTTGCTTTCTTTTCTACCCGCAAACACGCACGCTTTCGATTCGGAGTAGAAGACGGTAATTGGTCAGGTTGGCTAAATCTAACGGAATGCCCGGAATTCCGTAGATATTTTTAAATAAATTCATTTGCGAATCTGGGATTAGCTCGTTCGTGTCTATACGTTTTGCAGGAAGTTTTATCTAGAGGCTTCTATTTTAGATGGTTAGTCGTAATCTAATTCGGTATACTCTGCTTTCTGCGTATAATTATAGGAATATTATGCACATTTTTAAAGAGAGTTTTACTTCGTCGTAATCCAATTCGAAGTGCTTCAATTTTTCTACGTAATTACAAAAATATCGCATTTATTTTTAGAAGAAATCACATTTTCAAAATAGAAATTGCATTCTAATTTAGTCGTAATCTAATTTGTCATACCCCGCTAGTTATATATAATTACAGTAATACAATATACTAATCTTAAATACTTCGATCCCCGCGTATAATTACAGAAATATCGTGCGAATTTTTAAAGAAGCGATATTATTTCGAAACGGTAATTATATTTCCAATTTAGTTGCCTACTTATAATATAATTTGCTTATCTCCAGTTTATTGCGCTACACTCGCGGTTCAACGCAATTTTCCAAACAAATTATCAACAGTTATTCCTCGTCATCAATGCGCTAATCCACGTACAACTTAATTGCTCAGCCGAATGACCAGTCATCTCTGCAGCAATGAGTCACCAAGTTTGTCCGATCCTTGCCGTCGCCGCGGCAACCGGCAATTTTCCAGCCGCTATCATTGTACGAGATTCACCGAATTATCTCGGACAAGTCTATCTATCTGTTCCATCTGGCCTCTCTATTCCGTAAGAATGACAATGAAACGTCGTGTTCCAGTTAGTCGACAGAAGGCACAGCCAATAGCCACGTCGAATCGAACGGAGAGCAAGGATGTCCGTGCTAGCACGTTACCACGAAGACGCGGGGACGTCAGCCCGGTCGTCTCGACGCCGCAGAACAGCCCTAATCGCCAGAGCCCGAGAACGTCGACGCCCAGCGTCGACAGCGCCGTCGGTTCCGCGGAAGGCCTGGGTGTACCTCAAACCGGAAACGTCGAGGAGATCCGACCGAGGAGCGATGGTTCCGACAGTCTGGCCACTTCCAGTGCTCTCACCAGCCCAGAGCCACCGGTTCCAGAGATCAACGAGCCGAGGGTCGATCTGGTGCAGGCGGACGTGCCTCCTATCGAGATCGTCACGACCGAGCCCGTTTTTCCGCTCGCTGAAAACGCGCCCAGCGAGGAAACCGTTCAGAAAGGTGAGTTGTCGATAAGCAATTACGATCGTATCCTTGAACCAGCTTTTCATATTATTACCAACGATACAATTACGCGCAAGCGTGTCATTTTCAGAGATACGTATATTCCACTATACCCGCGAGACTGCGGTATGAGAGATTATTACATTTTTGATAGAAGTTCAACTCGAAAAGATTAAATTTTGGTATATTGTCCTTTGCATTCCACTGATGTCGCTGCAGAGAAATTTGATCACCTGTATCGCGTTACTCCAATTAGCTTTTACTGGCAGAAACGCAAAAGTGAGCAATGCTGTATAAATAAATTGATAAATATTCTGAATTTATAATTATGAGAATCGTTCGAGTAAGATGAAAGAATTTTCAGAGCGCGAAGGATAAATATCCTTATTATTTCTCGACGTTCTTTTAAAAATCTTTCGCCTTAAATTTCTCGAGTCGAGTTCCACTCGATTTCCCACGAAAGCCACGCAAGACGTGTAAACGTATGAACCGGCGAGTACCTCGGAAGAACGATGAATCCTAACAGCCGGAAACGGCGGAATCCTCGAACTCCTTCTTCCGTGTAGCAACGACATGCTATTTGGCTTATTTCGCGAGTGGAGATTGGCAACATAATATTACTAAGTCCGACATGCTCGCAGCTTGTAATTTTAATTTAATGACTTTATCCGTGCCAAAATCGTACCTTCGCCGTTCACCCTCGTCTCGTCTCCAATACTCTCGGTGTTCATTTCGCGTGGCTTATCAGGTCCGCGCATCTTAATAGAGTACGTTTCGCCGTGCACGCGAAGGATTCAACGACCTGGGCCGCTCTTAATTATCGGATATTCGTTGACACGTTTATCGAAGCATCGAGTGGCAAGAATTAGGAATCGCTCGTTGAAAGTTGCCGGTGTCGTTGATGTATTAGAGCATCGAATCGAACCGGATGAGCCGGCCAAATATTTTCGCCTGTCCCAGGGTGGTCGAAGGGTAAGGAAAGAAGGACTATTTTTGGTGCATCGACAGGAGTGCCGTGGGTACAAAGGTGCACCCAAGTTTCCACTTTATTTCGCGTGGCTCTATTTTCGGAACGGTGGGTGCCAGGGTCGAAATAGAAATTTCAACGTCATCGAGTTCTACCCATCTTCATTGATGACTTCACACCCGTTCACTCGTGCCTGGAGTTCGCTAATCGCGCAAATGCTGTGTCACGTTGATCCGTTGACCTATCACGACCGTGTCTATCTCCACTCGCTTTTACACCGCTTTTTCGAAAAGAGAGAGGAACAGGAGAGAGGTTGCGAGAGTATACCACCCTCCTGTTCTTCTCGCGATCTGTCTGCTGTTCTTTCTGTTTGTTGGATAAGTAGGCTTCTGTTAGCTCTGAGTCATTAAAGCAGCCGACTAGTGGATATTTTCCAACATCCACCTAACCGTTGTTTTCTAACCGCGTTATTCATTGCTCTTCTCATCTTCTGCATCGAGGTTGAAATTCACGCGAAATCGGCATTTATTCGATTAATAATTGGAAACTGTTCGCGAAGATGTCGAGATCTCTCACCGCCTTTATCTACACCCTTCCAAAGTAGCAGCATAAAAATCACGATATAAGAATGGGCCAGTACAGAACTAACACTTGAAATTGAACTTCTTAGCATCGATCTATCTAGAGTTATTCGTAGTGGAATATACGAAAGGAAAGCAATTCATGGAAAGAACTTGCTCTACTATTCCGTTGTCGACTTAAAAATTGAAACGAAGACCATCATTTCCCACAGAAAATAGACTGGAGCCGCACGAGGTGATAATAACACCCCCACCTGAGGAGCCACGGCTGAGTCAAGCTAGCGAGGGTAGCGAGGCGGCGAGCGAGGCACCCTCCGAGGCGTCGTCGCCGTCGGGCAAAACGAGGAGGTACCGAGGGGACACCAGCAAAAGGAGAAAGGGCGTGTACATAACCCAATGGCCGGAGTCCTTGGACACCGACAGGAACAAGCTGTCAGCTCAGAGCAGCGAGGAAAGAGACGAGCCACCTGCGACGCCCAGCGACCTCTCCGACTGCGAGGGCCACACGCCTAGAAGGTAACACGAGAACGAGCGCTGATATATCGGAATAGAATGCAAATAGACCCGAAGCGCCTGCCTACGGCCACGATTTAAGAGGAGAAAATCGCGAGAGACTCGGCTGTTTGCTTAAAAGCACCACTCTCTTTGCGCGCCTCGTGTTCGACCACCGTCGACAGGATCCAAGTCGGGTTATGGCGCGAATCTTTCGAAATACCACGAGAAATTTGTAATAATTAACACGTTCACTGCCAGGCCAGTCACCTGTGACCGCAGATCGTGACTTCGATGAGACCACGATGGTCAATAGTGACCGGAGTGCCTCAAATGTTTAAAATCGTCGACTAAATAACTTGGAATGTCACAGGTAATTCGACAATCTCATTCCAATTTCAGAACAATGAAAATACCGTAATACGCAATATGCAAATATAGCGTGGCAGTCAACGCGTTGAAAATCTGACAGAGCTATGTGACATTTCACCCTTAGGCGCGATTTCAAAAGATTGTGAATAATTCCACCCTAATTTCAAATCACCTACCCCCAGATTCAGAATTATCTACCCATATAAGATTGAAACTACGTTCCTTTGAATACTGCAGCGAATCCACGAGAATTTAAGATTCGATAGAATCTTGAAATCCAACTCGCTCAGCAGGCAAAACGGATTAACCCAAATCTGTTCCTCGAGAAACTCGACGATTACGAATGGCGGGTTGAAATAAGGGGAATTTTAAGACACGTTTAATAGTAGGAAACGTAAACCAAACGTAACATCGCGTCTTTATCTCGCTGTGATTTGTCCAGGTACAGCAAGAGGCCTCTCCGTGGCCCTTACGGGCAGATGCTCGAGGCAGAGATGGCGAAACCGCGAACCGCTGATATCTCTCTCGAGGAAGGTCTTCGTCCACGTAGAAAAGTTTCCGCGAATCTCTCGTACAACACGAGCTCGAATAACAGCTGCTCAGAGCCGCCCACGCCCTGCCATCATAGAACCACTTCCAGCCCGAGCAAACTCGAAGGTCTTCCGGGACCAAGTCCCGAACTACTCGCGGAGCTGCTCCGGGGATCTTCGGAGAGGGTGGCTCGTGCACCGGTGCATCGAAACGTGAGTACTATTGAATTTAATATGCGTTACTTCGAGACACGGTATAGAGGGAATAGGGGTCGGGTACCAGAAGGATAGGTGAACGGAGAAGTCTAGGGTAACTCGATGCGAGACAAGTCAAATTCTCCGCTGTTATACGAATGGAGATAAATAAGCGTTTCCGTGGTACGAAGAACCTTTATTATTCTCATTGTTTGAACATCATCCAACCGTGTTGTTTTTCCAACGTTAAACGGTTTTTCCAGCGTTAAATCGCGTTCTTCAAATATAATTTTAACCGTGGTTGGTCTTCGATGAGCGATGACTATACGCGTGGAGAGGATATTTTGCATGCAAATTGTGAAATCGTAAATTATTTTTAATAATCAGCCTGCATTGAATCTTGCAACTTAATATACCAGTTGTTAAGAGATAAGGGTCAAGATTCCGAGCCAAGAGAAATACACAATGCTTAACGCGTTTAACGCTGTTGGTTGCTGTGCATCCACGCTAAACTCTTCGTCTAGACAGTGTCAGTTTCCGGGGAAAATTCCGCTAAAAATTAACACTCCTGATCGACAGTATCAAATTTAAAATATAGTACCCTATAATCCATATTTAATATAAACACAAATTTAAGAAGGGAAAAATGCACGGCAAGATGTTTCACACAAACTCTTACACGAGAAATGGTTCCGTCGACAAATGGACCATTTCTTCGTGGAATAAAATTAGGTTACCAGAAAATGGGTTATTAATAAAAAGATTAACAGGAAATAAAGATTCATCGAATGAACTGGGAATAAAATACTCCCCAAAGTGACTCCATTTTCTTCTCTGCTCTGCCATCGACCGACCTCGAAAATGCCGCGGATGCGCGAATGATAATCGCGTTTCGTGTAAAGCGTATTCATGAACAAGACGGCGATGTAATGAAGAGCTAATCGGTGGATCGATTAACGAGCGGACAGCAGTAAAAACAAAAGGGAAGAAGGCAATGCTCTCGAGCGAGTCAAGAGCACCGCGATTGATGTTATCGCGGCGTCGTATCTCTGGCGGTCTCTTCGGCGATCTTCCTCGTCGCTTGTAACATCTGGCGACGAATTTAAAGCGAGGGGAACGGGATACGTGTCTCGTCCCGCTCCGAATTGGTTCACGCGACGAATCGTGTAACAGAAATACCGATCGCTCGTCCGATTTAGCTTTCGATCTTTTGGAAACGCTAGGAAGTGACAGCTGATCGCGTTGAAATTCGTTTAAACAATGTTGGCCGGGGTTCAATCGCGAAAAGTAGGAACGACAAGCGTGGGATTCGATTCTTTAGAAAAATGCTCGAAGAAAATGGATGTCTCAAAAGTGAAATTTCCTGGAAGGTAGTTTTAAATTGTTTATTGCGTTCCTATTTTAACATAAGCGGAAATTGAAATACAAATGTTCGGAAAAGGAGGAGAATTTATTCAAATTTTCTATTGTCTGCCAACGTGTTCGCGTAACATAAAATGCCCAAGAACTCGTATAACTACACCTGGCCATTCATAATTGTAATTACCTATAATCGAGATCATGAATAGACTACGAGCATTTATGCAAGTAGAACACGTATAAATACATCAAAATTGTGCATAAAATATGCAAAACGTATACTTACATCTCGAGTATATTCTATCGCAATTTGCTTAACAGCGTGTAACGACAGTCCTCTCAACCTTCCTGTCTGTCGATCATCGTAAAAGACATCCCGCAAAACGAACAATCATCATCTATCTTGCTACCTACCTAAAGCTCTAGCTACCTCTACCTATCTCTCAGAACCAAACTTTCGATCACTATTATACCAATCCATGGGATCCTTCGATTACCTCGAATCTTCCTTCGATCTATCCCGATTATCCTAACGAACCGTCAGAAATACCTGCGTAACAGGGACACAGAAAGGAAGACGGAAAGGAAAGGAAGGAAGGAAGGAAGAGAAGGAAGAAAAAGGGAAACTGTCCACGATGATGATTCGAGACGGACGACTCCAGGTTAGCGGCTGAAACGTAATCTAATAATAATGTTCGGTCATATTTCTGGGATGAGTTGTTGCCGGTTTGGCCAGTGCACTCGAGGTTAGCGTAGTGTCCCCTTGATTCTGGCACGGCGGGGGCGTGCGCGAGAGGATATTCCTGGCCTTAGGTGTACCTGGGGACCGATCGGCCTCTACCGGCGCGCACACATCGCGAGCGGAATCCGCCGACTCGCGCGGACATTTTTACGCAACCCGACCTTGCTCGATACACATCGGCACCGCGCTGTTTCGCATGTGCGTGCCGTTTAAGCGGCCGAGTCCGACCCCGCTTTTGTCAAACGTCGCTTTTAGGGTCTCACCAGCCGAGGGATGCTTCGGTCGATGCTCTTTCGTTAATTAAAGTCCCACTCGGCGCACCACCGCGTCCCTTTGAACAGTTTTTGGATGGCAATTCTGTTGGTTCACGCGCAGGCAGAGATAATTTCGCTAGTTAATTCGATGCGTGAGCTCGGGTGTTGGGGTACTTGACCTAATACCGTGGATGGTAATTTTGGGAGGATTTTGAATTAGACGGATTTTTGTCTAGGTTTTACGATGTTTAATCCGGTTAATTTTATAGGTTTCCGTGACTTGCGTGTAATTTGGAAAATTTCAGTTCCGGGTAGGGTAGTTTCCTTCATTTTTATTAATCGGTGATTTACCCCTGTTTTTATTTGCTTGAATATATATCCTAGAATGATATATCTAATTAATTTACGAAGAAGTAGTATTGGTCGAATGTCTTTCAATTTGCAGGACCCTTAAAGAGTAAATTTTCTAAGTTTGTGGATAGTTGATGATTCCGTTGAGGTAGATTTAGAAGACGCGAGTTCTTCTGTTGTGTAATGTAGATAATTAGATAGAATACACATTTTGTAATGTAGTCTAAATTTACTAAATGTCTACAGGCGTATATATATGTCGGTGATTATGAAAGTGGATTAAGTCGTATACTTTTGGTCCCGAGGTATTACAGAATTTATCTTTGGATAAATGGAAAAATTAATTACGACTCTTATAATCTGTTGTAAAAATTCGTTTCTTTTAGATCTTTGCCTCGAACGATTTGCATATCCTCTGCATTGTGTCGATTTTCGTTTCCGTGTTTTCAGAAAAAGCATTTTAAATCCGTTTCAAATGGAAGTACGAACACTACTGTAAAATGTTATTGCATATATTAATATTCCCACTTCTCTAAACGATAGATCTTCCCTGTCACTCTTGAAACCACCGTTTCTTTTCTTGGTTACTCGCTAGAGATACAGCCTAAGTTTATTGTGACTAGCATCGAACACACAATTGAAACGATTCCAATAGTGCCTAACTTTGTATCGCAGTGCGACTATCTTTAGCTGAAATGTGCTTCGTTTTGAACCTTCGGCGGACACAGTGAAAGTCGGCCCACCGTACTTTCTAAGGTTTCGATATTTTTGTTCATAATCGACCACGAGTGGTACTTTAACGAGACTTTCACGAAGCTCGGCGAAGAGGAAACGGATTAATTCGCGGCTATGCGCCAGCTGATAATTCCGCGATGCAGAATGCAGAGTTTCGTTGACCTCGAACCTCCTTATGGCAGAAAAATTACCTAAAAACGGAGGGATTCGTTTACCACGACGTGTTTAAAAAATTGGCGAAGATAAATCATCTTCTAAAAGAAGCATTCGAAGAACTGGTTTTCATCGCGACTATCTTCGACGAAACTTCGTTAATCTCGCCTCGCGAACTGTCGCAATATTTTGGCAAAATTGTCTAATAACGCAGAGGTTAATCTATCAATACGCGGTTGAAAAATAAGTAAAAATAAATGGGCATCTTCTGAAAAGAAGTATCAATCATTTCCATCTTCCGATGGACGCGGAGGAACGACGTGCACGTGGACGGAAATTAGTCATGCGAGGAAGAAATGGCGTTTTGGCGGGTGAAAGAAAGCAGAATCGCTCGTGACACGGACCAGAGATCGTTTATCCTGGTTTTCCCGCGAAAATTCTGCAGAAACCCGAGAAATCATGGTAACGAGGAACCCCGTTCGACTCCTCGATACAAGTTCCAATAAGTTAGATCGCGTTCGATAGGGTAATTTGCATTTATTATCGAAACGGTCGCGAGGGCGCAGCATTTTAGCGGACAGCAGGCGAATGGAAATTTTTCGTAGCCCGGGAGGAAAAGAGCAGGAAATGGCCGACGTACCGTGAAAATAAAGTCTGGCCGGGTACATGAAATATGACGGGTGGCATTATTATGTGCGAACGCATAGAATTTCTAGCAGAGAGATAGCTAGGAAAATATATAAACTGAACCAGGATGAAAATAGCAAAGCTCGAGATAAACAGGGATATTTTCAGCCGGTTCTTTATCTATCTTCTGATGTCATCGGTTTTAGGTCGGTATTGCGTAGATTTCTAGGATTTCATGAATGAATCGCGAAACTTACAATGCCAGGGCGTCGTGACGTCCACGGCGAACGTGACGTCGGAGCCCACGTAGATTCGTGAATAATTTATAGCGATCGTCGGTCTTTATCGCTTCGCGCACTCGCTGGAAATCTATTTTTTTCGCATTCGCCACTTAATTTCGCGCGTTCGCCGTTTCGCGTTTTCAAATACGTTTAACGTGTGTCACCATATTAAAATTAGTTATGGCTGGCATGTTCCGCTGCTAAAGCCATTTTTCTTCTGCCCTTTTCGAGCATGGTCCGACGATTTGTCGCCTATCTGCTGCTTTACGACACGGTTTATTATCGACTAAGTCGCGTTCGAATTTTATGGGGCTTGGTCGAAAAGCATTCTTCGGCGCAACGATAATTCGATTTTGAAACCGGTAGAATTTGGACACGAGAAGGCAACGAAGTAAAGTTCGTGGATCCAAGCTGAATACGAGCAATGAAAGGCAGACTGCACACCGAGGGCGTTCGACAAACTCGAATAAAATGTCCGAAAATCGCGAGGCTGAGACGCTGCCGCACCGGCGCAGA